AAAAAAAAAAAAGATCTCTTATGTTAAGCTAAGAACAATAATAAGAACATTTTTAGTTTATGGAAATTTGGAATTGAATTTGTTTCACAATTGGTAGTTCATAAAAACGTAAGTGTTCCATTACAATATCCCTGGCCAGCTGACCCACACCCATGTGCTGGTTGCTGGCATGTGGCTGGCGGCGTCCCCCACACGCTTCCCTCTTTGCCCGCATAGTCTGGGGCTTTCTCACCCCCAGGGCATCCTGTGGCCAGGCAGGTCTGTAAGATGACCTGGCTCTAGAGCCTGCTCAAGTGTTAGTAGATTCATTGTTGTAACAGCCTGCACATGGCTGTAAAGGAATTGTGATATAAACCACTAGAAGAAAAAGAGTCATTTTTATCTGTACCTAGGGGCTGGTGGGCTGGAACTTTTAAAACACATGCTAATTCAAAATATTCTTGCCTTTGGCTTTGTACAGCTTGATAACGGAGCCTTACCATCAGTAGTCAACGGATCTGCCTACCCCCCGGGATCGACTCTTCCAGGACCGCCGAAAATAACTTTGGCTGGGTAAGGATTAAAAGCAATAAATTACCACTTACTTTAACGTAAGAGTTTAAGAGCCTTTTGGATACAACTGTGATTTTCTTCTGTGTTATAAAATTAGTTTTACCTGCAGACCTTCATGACTTTTGAAAAATTATTTTTTACCTTAAGCAATGCCACTAACAACGTTGCCATACGTGTCTGGTTTTATTGTTGCTGGAAAGGCTGATCTGTAATCTCCATTTGTTTCCATTCTGCTACCTGCTGTCTGTGTCAGCAGCAGAGGCTTGTTGCCATTGATAGCTCTGTCTTGGTTTCTCATTGATTCAAACTGTGCTGTCATCAATACAAGCAATGAAGCGGCAGCCTCTTAACGTCGATGGTGGTCTGCAGAGCGCCCTGCGGGCTGCCTCTGCCTGCTGCCTCCCGTGCTAAGTCGGCTCCTGCTGCACGGCAGGTGCTCACACGTCAATCTATACTCACGATCTCCAGGTGGACGTGGGCTGCACTGGGACTTTGTCTCGTGATTTTAAAGTTGTGTTTATAATTATAACTAATTGTAAACTAACCAAGCTGGTTGAAACTCTGCCATGCTAACATTGGTGTACGGATGGTGGTCTGGGCAACTCTGTTCGTGGAGCCCTGGAGTTGATTATGGATGTCAGTCTGTTCCTGCCTTCGAGAGTTTTTTGGCCCACAGTCTCATGCAGTCGTATATCCTGCGGCCTGGACGACAGCAGGTAAAGCACTTCAGGAAAAGTGGACTGTGGCCTCTGTGCCCGCCGGCCCGCTGCAGTGCTCCGCCATGGGGCAGGGCTTCGTGACGGCCTTGGTAAGGGAGAGGAGAGTGGTTTGGGGCAGGAATGAAGGCTGTGAGGTGAACCACTGGGTAGGGCTCTGGAGACACGCTAGGATCGGATCAGCGCTTTCGCCTCGGCATTGTCGCTGGAGGGTGGTAGTTGCTCACGTGATTTGCTGCTTCAGTTTTAGCAGCTGCTCTTTGAGCTGGTTGTCATACTATGCTAGGTCAGCTGGTGACTTTCAGTTAATTTGCTGGAATAAGACTGGAAAGAGCCAGTCTCCTCGCCTCACCGTCTTGGGGGGATGGATAGGAGAGGATGCGGCTAGTGTGAGTGTCATTGGTCATCTCACCCAGGCTGTCCACATTTCTGAACAAAATGAAAATGACTTAACTTCCAGACTCTGCTGATAGCATCGCATCTTTGGTTACACGGGATGATATAAGGTGTTATGATCCTGAAGATACTCACTTTATCTGTCTTGTAATCCGGGGGCTTCTGGTCAACAGTACTGCATTGCTGTGTGCTTCGTGGTATCTAGGACATTTGAGGGGACGTGACATTTCTAACACACGTGCTGTCACAGTTGCAGTGCCACGGGAGGCTCCGCCGTGGTGCAGCTGATGGACATTTCCATGCAGGAGCAGTAATGAGGGCGTTTTCACTGCACTGTATTTCTTCTTTTCCCTCTTTCCCCCTCTCCTCCTCCCCTCTTCCTCGCCACCTCCTCCTTCCTCCTCCTCCTTCCCAGTCTATACTAGATTTTTCTCAGTCACATATTTTTCTTTATTTTGAAGTAATTATGCAGGTTAAAAAAGAATTCTATTATAAATGATGTACCAAAAATAACGTGAGCTTTGTGTTTGTATTTTTGATGCAATTAATTACTTGATTTGATTTTGCCCCACTGAAGTGGCCCTCATAATTTTCATCTCAACATCCACAGGACTGGTGGTATACTGGAATCTACCATTTAGTTTTTGTAGTAAGGGAGC